AATTGACTTCAAAGATTACTTACAACCTGACAAGACTCCAATAAATGCAGATTTTCTAAATAATTTGTAGCTTTTAGAAATTGCAGATCTTGTTTAAAGATTAGAAACTTCAAATAATAACTAGAATTAGAATGATATGGAACAAAATTTATAAAATTAATAAATAGAGATAAAGCAATAAAAACTGATTTCACTTTTAGAAAACAAAACAAATTATTGTCATGATTATTTTATTTAAAATGCAAAAAACTCTATTTAGAAATATTCATAAATTATCAATCATTTATTTTTAAATGTAGAAATTTTCAAAGAAAATAAAAGCTAAACTATTGATTTTAGCAAACTTACAACTAAACAAATTGATAACTTAGAATAACTAGCTAATAAAATATCTTAACTTACTCAATAGTTTGGACAAGCTTACTACAATAGTACCTCTCCTATTCTTGAATAATAAAATAAATCATATTTTACTTCAAAATAATTAGGAAATAATAAAGATATTGAATAGTTACTTGTAAATTATCCAATTTTTGAAACTATAAATTTACCTTAATTTAATATAGAATTTATCAAATCAAATTTCAGAGATAGTTAATAATTAATTTTAGAAAAAAATAAGCTATTTGGCTATATAGTAAAGCAACCCAAATCATTATACGGTTAAATATTTACTAGAGATAAATTAGATCCTAACTTAAATTATATTTTTAGATGTAAAGTCAACAAGAATTTAAATTGTAATATTTTTTAATTTGGAATAATGAATACATAAGAAATACATAATTAATATTTATCTTAAGAAAATTGTTGCTTTATAACTAATTACAGTGGATATGGTTTAGATAAAATATTAAAAGGAAAAAAGTTAAATGAAGTGCAATAAGAAATAAATGAATTAGAAATTAGAGTTAATATTTCTAAGAGAGTTGTATTATTTATGGACTATCCAAAATATTAAAATATAAACAAAGTTGATGAGTCTAAAATAATATAAGACAAAAATTATAGCTTTGGAATATTTTTTGCTACTCCAGGTGATGATTATAATATTGAAATAGAAACATTTTTAATTGACGATAAATATTTAGAAAACTTTGATTAAAAATGATAGAAATCAAGAAAAAAAATATAAGAATTATTGTATAAAATGAATTAATTGTTAGATAAATTTTAAAATAATTAAATTTAAAAAATAAAAAAATAGATATTTAAAATTATAAAGGTTTTTATTTATTTAATTTAAATATTTATATTATTTATTGCAAGTATTTTTATTTACAAAACTTAATATTTTATAACAGCATTTTAGTTTTTATTTTACAACTTTCAAATTTAATCTTATTTTTGTGAAATTAATTTAAAACAAATAATTTATACTTAAATTATCAAAAATATTTAATTAATAAAACAATTTAATAA